GACGTCACCAGCGGCATTGGTTCTGCCATTTGTAGTCTGGGAGCTGAGCGCCAGATAGGAAATTGACATTGGTTCTTTGTTGATGATCATGAGAACATTGCCACTTTTGAGCTTTTGGTGTGCTCTTATTTGGTTGAACTCGAGTTGCAATTCTGCTTTCGGTTCGAGGTCACGACTATCTGGTTTCATGTGTATGATGCTGCTTGGTTTCTGGATTTCGCTATCGCTCATTTTCCTTGCATAATAGACTGTGAACCAGTATTAGGGTATCTTCATGGAGGAATAGAAAAAAAATGAGTACCTGAACTTCATTTTTCTTTGGAGCCTGGGACAAATCAAAATGCGTGCAAAAAGTCTTCTTCTCTTTTTCGGTCCCGTTATTAAAGCAAAGAAGACAAACGTAAAATGGTGCATTGACATCTTGCTGCCGTGCGATCGGCCATCACGAACGGTCATGCAGCATCACACTTGTGCTCATCTTGCACACTGTACCTTACCCACCTGCTAGTGGAACCATGCCCCACGTTAACCTGGTCAGGAGACCCCCCGGGGGAGTCGTCGCCCCGGCTGGCAGGCCCTCTGCTGGGCGTCCCAGATAACATAACTTTTTGACTTTTTAGTTATTTGAACGAGCATATTCAAATCTACTGCCTATGGATAACGTTCTTTTTTAACAACACTAGATTGGCTGTATTTTAATCACAATTATTATTAATAATTTATTACTAATTTATTACTAATTTAGTATCATAAATATTACAAGGGGATGCCTGCCGCAGATGCGGCGGGGACCATGAGGGGGGGACTAAGAGCAGGGAAAACACACACACACACACACACACACACACACACACACACACACACACACACACACACATTGGAATGCATCTTCCCATGTTGTAGCGGAAGATTCGTTCCGATTTTGTTCTGGTGCGTTGCTCATCCAATCGATGGAAAACTCTCTCTCTCTGTCTTTCTCTCTCTCTCTCTCTAGTAACCTCCCCCTCTCTCTCTCTCTCACACACACACGCACACAACCGCGACCTCACTCGTTGCTGACATGTCACGGCACCGATCCAGAGCATCATAGCACACGTGGCGGATCGCGCAGAAGAAAAAAGATAAAAAAAAGCGAAAATAAAACTATTGAAAAGCTATATTACCAAACTCCTATTCCACAATCACCTCAGCTCCCCACGGCGAACAAACTGAACTGTCTAAGGGCATTTACTAACACCTGAAATTCCCTCCGACCTCAGTCTGCGACGATTTGGTCGAAAAAGTGGTAGTGTGTGTGAGAGCACATTCCAAGCTGATGAACTACGGTCGACTCTATGTTCTTCTGACTGCACTAAACTGGGCACAAAGTGAAAAGTTAAAACCAAATCACCTGAGACTCTGAGACTTCTGCTAAAAAGCACAAAGACTCCGCTCTCCCAATCGTCAGCGCACGCATCTCCGCCTCACCCCCCTGTCACAGAGCATGTGAGCACCACGTTACCGTATCGTTGTCTCTTCTCACGTGGCAAGCTAGCCAGTCCCTGGAAAGGGAACCAACGAACTATCCCTTTCCTCTGTCCCAACGTCGTCGGTCTTCGGGTTGCGCCAACCCCGCATCCCGACTTCCCCCTCTCCATCCCAACCCTCCGACCCTCTCTCCTCTATCCCCATCCCGACTTCGACTTTCCCTTACGTCGTCCGTCTTCCAACCCGAATCCAGACTCCCCCTCGCATCCCGACTTCCCCCTCCCCATCCCGACTTCCCCCTCCCCNCCCCCCCCCACACCCAGGACAGAATGCTGAGCTCCAACGCCAGCTCACCCTGGCCCATGATCACATCCGCCTACTCCAAGGAGGTCAACCTCTACCTCCCCACCTCGCGACACAACCTGCTGCCCCTTTCATCTATCGACAACATCAGACACAGGCCACTGCGATGCATTTCTCACTCCCACCACCAGCCACCACGATGTGCCAGGGACCCTTGCCCCGGCTCCCCGCTCTGTCTAGTGGTTCTGTTGGTGCCACTACTTCTTTTGTCCTCTTGTCATAATCGGCTCTCCCTCTCCCTACCCATTACCAGCCACCAACGTATGTTCCACAGTTTCGACGGGACCACCTCCCACAGTTTGACGGCAGGTCCTCCGAGCTCCAAGGATGGATCACTACTGCTGAGGAGCAGCTTCGCTACCATGGTGTTGCCATGGAACTGTGGCCCATCGAGATGTCCTCTCGCTTTACAGGTCGTGCAGCCTCCACCTGGCGCGACTTCCTTCAGCAGTACTTTTCTCGCCCTGCGCCCACCTGCGACCCGATTATTCGTGTACCGATGGCGCCTCCGTGGAACAAGATGCAAGAAGGTGAGATGAGGTAGCAGGGGTGGAGGGGGTTGAGGGGGTTGAAGGGGCTGAAGGATCAGGAGGCTCGGGAGGCTCAGGGAGTGGTGGGTCGAGCTCGACCAACTCAGCGTCCTGATGCATAGAGTTAAAGACAAGGAGATTCGTGATGTCGACAATGTAGAGTTCGGCATCAGGCTGATGAAGGATGTGGTGGAACTGAGTTGGTGTCAAGATGGCAACATTGACAGGAGAGGGGGGTGTAGAGTCCGATTTGCCCAACAACGGAATACGGTACTGCTTCCCATCCTTGGTGTCGAGGACGAGGTCGTTGTAGGTCCAATCGCGGCCAGCATGGGCTAACTGATGGGAGTAGGCAGTGCCGAGAACAAGATCATATAGGGTTTCCATGACGTCGAAGGTCCACTGGTCATGGAACCGAGGGGCCTTGCGAAGGCTGTGGGGCATCCTCAAGGGAAAGGAGAATGGAAGATCAGGCACCACTGAATTGGCGAATGATTTGGCCTGATTGTCGCCAAGCGTGACAGTGACAGTGGAAGGGTAGGCGGATGTATAGAGAGATACCTCCTTAACTACGCGAGGATGAATGAAGTCGCCAATAGAGCCAGAGTCCCATAGTGCGCAATACACTCTAGTAGAGGTCCCGAGGCGCATTGGAATAATCGGTAAGGTGTGGTCGGGGTTGTGTAGGCACTGAGACATTGCGGACAGGGTGCGCTCTTTAAGGCGGAGACGTTCTTGGTGGACCTTAACACACTCAAGGTCCAGGAAGTCAATGATATCCTCGGCTGCAATGAGGGAAGCATTGCAGCGCGCCGTGCGAAGAGCACGCCTAGTAGGAGGGCGATGAGGAGGAGGATCATGAGGGACGCTAGGCGAAGAAGTGGAGGCACTGGAGAGTGGGTCAACGATGCTAGAAGCGACCAACGATGACGTCAAGTCCAAGTCCTCAGAAAGAGTAGCAAGCGGGCCGAAAGTAGAATCGCGGGCGGGTATGCCTGCTACTATGGGAGGATCAGCGGGGCGGGAGATCGCCGCTAGGTGGCTGAGGGGCTGGAGGTCGAGACGGGGGGAACAGCCTGAGGGTGGGCCTGCTGTGCAAAGTGACTCTGGAGGGCGTCTGCGTACGGGCAGGTAGAGGAGGTATGCCCGGCGAGGCGGCAGCGGGTCAGCTGCCTTGTGTGCGAAGGTCCTCACTCTCAGCGATGGTCAGGCGGCTGCGAGGGAACACAAAGCCCGCTTCTTACTGAGGACGTGTGAAGAGACCGTTACTCCCGGCAGGCTTGTATCCGTTGTGGCCAATATGGCCATAACCAATTCAAGTGTCGAAACAAGAAGGTAACAGAAAAGATCCCGCCTACAATGGGGCGGGCGTCCGTCTCCTCCGCTTCCCCGGGTAGCAATGTCGCCAGCAGTTTTGACACTGCTTCGGTAAACACGTCGGGCCAGTAGGAATTGTAGCTGTTCCTGCTAGGGTCGGGGTGGTGGACACACCCTCACCATCTCGAGAGATGGCCCAAGCTATTAACTTCGTTGTCGTCCCGCAAACACATTCGGACCAATCGATCCTTTGTTCCATGAATGTGTTTGAGTCCTTAGAGGAGCTAGAGGAGGAGTGGTCTAGATCGGACCCGCTAGCTTCTTGGACGGTCATGGCTAAAGCTCCTAAGGGTGAGTTGTTCATTGGCGAGGCAGATATAGGCGGCCGTAAGGCCGGGGCCTTTTATGATACTTGCTCGACGAGGAACTTTATCAGTCGCGGGTGCATTCAGAGGCTGCGCTTACAGGGGCAAGTGCAACGCATGAGTCGACCTATGGAGTCAACATGTGCCAACAAACAGCCCATGGTAGTCACAGACTACCTCAAAGACATTGAGTGTCGTTTCCCATACACGGGAGGGGAACTGAGACATTGAGTCTCGTTCCTAGTCAGCAATGATCTCCCCATGGATATCTTGCTGGGTATGTACTATCTTTCGGTTGCACAACCTCAGTTTGACTAGGACCGAAAAGTGGTCAAACACACTTTGCTCGAAGGGGGGACCGCCAAAATACGTAAGTATAAGGCTAGTAGTCTGATTGAGTCCTACAGATGCATGTGCGCAGCCGCTTTCTATAATTACTATAAGCAAAATCCGAGGGAGGGTATGTACTTACCGCAGAGGGCGAGCCGGTGAAAATGCCTCCAGAGATAGAGGGAGTGGTCGCTAGGTACCTTGATCTATTTGAAGAGCCGAAAGGGGTTGTTGAGAGGGAGGTCGTCCACGCGATAGAGATTATCCCAGGATCTAATATTATGAACGGTAGGATCTATCAGATGTCTCCAGCTGAACTCGATGAGCTTCGCCGACAACTCAAGGAACTCATAGAGAAGGGTTGGATCCGGCCTAGTGTTTCCCCTTACAGATCTCGTCTTATTTGTACCGAAGAAGGGGGGAACCTTGAGGATGTGCATTGACTATAGGGGCCTGAATGCCATCACTGTGAAGAACGCAGAGCCCCTACCGCGCATCGATGACTTGTTGGACTGAGTGCAAGAGTGTCGGTACTTCAGCAAGATAGATCTGAAGTCCGGGTACCATCAGATTGCAATCCGGCCCGAGGAGCAACACAAAACCGCTTTTCAGACCAGGTACGGTCTGTACGAGTTTATGTCGGGATTAGAGCGGGGGGAGGGGGGTGACGTGGCGGGGGGGAGCCGCCGCGCAGAGCGGAGCGGGGGGTGGGGAGCGGGGCGGGGCCTGTCTCTTATACACATCTAGATGTGTATAAGAGACAGTCATTCTCCTGGTCCCTCCATTCTTCCATACCCTCTTTTTTGGACCCCAGGATCTTCATATCTGTTGGTATGCCGTCTGATATGAGTTCACGTAAGATGTACTGTGTGCAATCCTGATCTGGTACTGAGATCAGTTCATTGGATTTGTGATAGGCCACTTCCCAGGTTCCAAAGTTGTCGTTCCAGCGGTACGGGATTATCGTCCTTCGCCTCGGACTGGTACGTGCGTAGAGTTTGGCCGCAGCTTCTATTTCCTTGTAACCCCCCCCTGCTACGTCTTTGAGGGTTATGCATTGATCGTCCAGCTCCCTGTTCTGATCCCTTAGTACATTTACATGGGCCTCCAGGATTGCAGCATGTCTTCTCAGGTCCTCCACGGACTCATCCTCTGCCGTTGGAAAGGAGGTATTCTGGAGATGTTCTCCTGTGGATCCCTGTTTATTTTCTTTCTTATTTTTCTTCGATCTCCTTTCTGTTTCGGGTTCAGCATACGATTTGGGCCAGGTGAACCTTTGCTCATAGCTGTTTGTGTCCACCGTGATTCTGTTCTTCTCTATTTTTGTTTTCATGCTGTATTGTGCTGCGTAAAACTCATTAAGCTCTCTTTCCTTCTTGAGGATCTCGAATCTGTTCTCCATGCTTATGTTGTCTTCCACTTTGGTTGTTGTTCTAAGGTTGCGGAGGTGTTTGTGGTGTGCAAGCCTCACCTCTAGCTCCACTGTTCTGTCCGGTTCTAAGGAGCGTACATACTGCTGTACATACTCAAGCGATTCCATTTCTTGTTTGTCCTCTTCACTCTCCATATCCTCATCCTCTTCTTCTGAGCTCTCGTTCTCTGTGTCCTTCATAGTATCCTCTTCATCTTCCCCATCTGCGTCTTCCTCTTCTGTTCTCTGGTTCCCACCGCTCTCCGATCTGGTCCTCTTCCTTTCCCGACTTGCTTCTGAGCTCCGATTCTTGCTGGAAGTGGATGGCTGGGGAGAGTGATGCGATCCTTCCAAGTCTACATCCTTCCCTGATCCTTGGGCAGAGTCCTCATCCATACTTGTTCTGCTGTGCCTGCTATCCCCCGTGTCACTATTTGTTGACAGTGCGTTGGCCAGTCCGACTGCTCTTTGCCTCCCCTTGCTTGAGGGTGCTCGAGATGAATCACTTGCCGCTTCCTCTGATTTCCGTTTAAGGGACCTGTCCATTTGCATGCTGCTCCCATCCTCTCCACCGAAGGTAGAGGCCTTCGGTATTGAGCTGTCCATTAGTACGTTGCTTCCATCCTCTCTGCCAGCTGAAGAGGCCTTCGGTGTTGAGCAAGTTGAGTGCTGGGAATTATCTGATGAGAATCTGGCTCTTTGGTTTTCTATGTAAGCCCTTTTTGCATTCTGTCCGATTGTGTGGAGCTCATTCATTGTTTCCAGTCTTTGTTTCTCATCCAATAAGCTCACTTCTCCAATTACTTCCTGTTTTAGATAGCCAGTGGTTTTATCCTCCATCCTCTTCACTCCTACTGCCCTCCATCTACTCTCATACGGTGGGTAGATGTCTGGTTTGAGTTTGGGCTCTCCTTGGAGTACCCACACCCATTTTGGAATCTCCAAGTTATCATCAAAGACCCATCCTCTGTACTGTGCGTCGTTGATATACCACACCCCCGGCTTTGTATCACACTCAACCAACATTGATTGTTTGAGTGTGATTTTCTTTCCTGTCTCTCCGGTTAGCGGGCAGTGCATTCCCAGATGTCCCTCGTTTCTGCACTTAAAGCAGAAGGGATTTGTTTTCGTCGAAATGAACACATTTAGTTTTTGTCCATTTTTCCTGAATATCCAAACATCTGGAAATTTTGGAGATGTCCCAGATGATACTTCCAGGCAAGCCACTCTTGCGTCATGGTTCGGGGCCATGAATTCCGGGTTTGCTGGCAACCAATCGATGATTGGGTTGTTGGGGTACTCTTCCTAAAGCCTTTTCTGCACAAAGTTGTGTAAGCCTTCAGATAAATTGTCGAATTGTACCCAGAAAAGGTTTCTGAGCATTGTCTGTCGATGTCTGGATGCTTCCGCTTGTGGCTCCCTGGGTGGTTTCCATGCCTGGATCGTGACCACCGATCCTTTGCATTTCAATGCTCCTATGGAAACCAGAAAACGGGCGTACGTTGGGTCAACGCACAGAACCATTACTGTGTACCTCCCTCTCTTGTGATATGAAACGTCCGGTTCCGTTCCGGGAATGCTTTCCAACTCTTTCAGACGGTCCATGACCCACTTCCTCTTCTCATTCAGTGGTAGATCTCTGTTTTTGTTCGTGAAGTTGAAGAGTACGACATGCTTCTCATATAATTCGTTTAGGGACTGCAATTGCTCTTTCGGGTATTCCCAAATTTCTACTTCTTCCTCCTCGCCTGCGGTGTTTTGATGATTTCTTTTGTCTTGATGATTTCAGCTTTGATTTCTGTCTTGTTCATCAAATACTCAATGGCTCTCTGTCCCAGACTTCTCGGTGCTGCAATGGAGATTTGAATTCCTTCGGATGGAGTCTGAGAAGGTGAGGTTGAGTTCTGGGAGGTCGTGAACGACGGTCCTGGATGTCGATCTGTTGATGGTTTGTCTTCCTTTTCCATCCCCCTTCGTGCTGCCTTACAATAGGAGTCTGCCATTATTATTGTGGTTCCCAGGCTAATACTGTTGTTGCTTTAAATAAAATAAAAATATACGGTAGTGGAAATAGACTTTCGGACTTGGACTAAAGAATCAGCGCTTAACTGTTTTATCGACAAAATATGCACATGGGTCAATAGTGCTTAAGTAAATAGCTACTCAAAGTAAACACCCTGTATTTGCTTGATCCCTTGGATTCTTGCGGGGCTCTGGTTAATGACGAGACAGCAAGTGGGAAGGGGGTAGGTGGTTTTGGATGTGTGATTCATGAGTGAGGCTAGAATAGCTGGGCTGGCGTTGTAATCTAAGTGAGTGGTTTGGATTCTCGTGATGAAGGAGGTAGGAAAGGATGAATGGGGGTGCACTGGGACCGTTGATAAAAGCGGGCAGGTCCGTTTGTTCTCGCTATCTAGGGCGAGAGACAACTGGTGTTAGTCTTCGCTACTTTTGTGAGCTTGACTACGAGTCGGAATGTCCTACTCCAATGAGGATTCGGGACGGAGTTACTACCAATAATTGCGCCCGTTTTATATTCCGTCGTTCCTCTCCTCTTGATTGCTTGCCCGAGTACTTGTCAGACGTCTTGATGTCTCTTCTGTTCGTCGGGAGTGATTACAAACTTACCTTAGGATAACCTCGAAGGACTGTTCAAACCTTAATATAGCAGGTAATGGAGTAATGGCTTGTGCTCCGCTGTCCTCTCTCGCGCGTGATGATTCGTTGTGTGTCTCATTACTGCTTGCTCATCTCGTATATTAGGTAGGATCTGCCCCCGTCTCTCTTTCGTCGTCTTTCTTAGCTTGTCTTATCCTTTCTTGTTCTTAGATCCTCATTTCTCCCCTTTCTTTCCTTTTTCTTCCCTAGAATTTCCTCTTTCTCCTCATTCACCTCCCTCACTCTGTTTCCTTGGCCGACGTAGCCACGCCCGGAGGCGTGGTGTGACGTGTCGTCCCGCAGAAACACCTGTAGACATTCTTCTCGTTGAGCTCCTCTTTCTCCTTATTCACCTCCCTCCCTCCGTTACCTTACCCGACGTAGCCACGCCCGGAGTCTTGGTGTGACGTGTAGTCCCGCAGAAACACCTCCCTCACTCCGTTTCCTTACCCGACGTAACCACACCCGGAGGCGTGGTATGACGTGTCGTCCCGCAGAAACACCTCCCACACGCTGGTTGCTTGCCCGACGTAGCCACGCCCGGAGGCGTGGTGTGATGTGCAGAAACACCCGTAGACGTTCTTCTTGCTTAGTTCAAAGTTAGCTGGAAAATGCGCCCGAATCTGCTTGTGTAGTGTCGTCCCGCAGAAACACCCGTAGACTTCTTCTCGCTTAGTTCCTCTTTCTCCTCATTCCCTCCCTCACTTCGTTTCCTTGCCCGTCGTAGCCATTCACCTCCCTCACTTCTCAATCCGTTTTCCTTTCCCGCCGTAGCCACGCCCGGAGTCGTGGCGCGAAGCCGCGCGTGTAGTAGACTCCCGCGGGAAGCTATATGTCGCGATGGCTCAATGTCACGATGGCTCGATGTCGCGATGGCTCAATGTCGCGATGGCTCAATGTGAGCCATCGCGACATCGAGCCATCGTGACATTGAGCCATTGCGACATTGAGCCATCGAGCCATCGCGACATTCAGTCATCGTGACATTGAGCCATCACGACACCACTGCCTCTGTCACTCTTGGGAAAAATGGGAAAAATCATTCAAAAATGGCTGTTCTCACATCTTTTCCGAACTTTTCGGGGGTTGGACGAGGCTCGGCAGTTGGGCCTTGTGGGCCCCTTCGAAAAACAAAAAGAAAAACAAAAGATCATGTCGGGGAAGGCTGTGCACCAAGTTGTGCTCACACCAAAACTCGCACGTTCGTATCTAACCTCTATAGTGGCCAGTTTCAGGTTTTCCTTGTCTGTGTTTCTTGTTTTCTTTCTTTTTTAGTTTTGGACCTTTTGGTGCCCCGCCAGGAAGACACGGCGCGGTCCACGGGCTGCTGACACTTTGTGGAGGAGGGCATGCCCACACTATTACTTTGCAGAATGTATGAACCCGCTTTCCCGGCCTAAGTTCAGTTTCAATTTGACACCCTTGTCGTAACGCCCTCACTGACGGCATACTCACACAACGACTTTGGGCTAGGTATCACGTCCAGAGGGGTGTTTGTTTTTTTTCCTTTATTTATTTGTGGCTGCAAGCGGGTCGTTTTTCGAAAGTCTGGCCGTGCCTTTTTTTTCTTTTCTTTTCAGGAGAGTACCAGAAAAGAAACAAAACGGAACCCAGGCTCGGCGAAACTCGGTGCGCAGTGAAAATCAGGGTCGGCAAAAACAGGCTCGGAGGTGGTGGTGGTTTAAGCAGCAGAGTTAGGTCCTTTCAAAACGGCCAAAGGGGTTCAGGGTTTAGCAAGCAGGAACAGTGCTTCGGGGCTGCCTCAACGCTCTAGAGCCTCAGAAATAGCCGACAGCTCATGTGGCTGACAGGAGTGCGTACAAGGAAGCAGTTGGGATACAGACGAAATGATAAGGGTTTTGGGGACTCAATGGTGAGCTGTTGCTCATAAGCTAAACTGGCTAGTGCTCCCGAGATAACCCCGGTTCAAACGGTGAGGACCCCTGCCTCAAAGTTTCGGAATATAATGGAAAACTTTTTTTGTTAAAAAAAAAGGAGAAAAAAAAAAAAGAGAAACCGACTAAATTGGCCCCAAAATCATTGAAAAATGTCAATTTTTTCTTTAGCTCCTGAGGGTCCGGCCTTCTTAAAATGCCGTACCCCCTGGACTCCAGCTAAGTCCAGATACATCCAGGGGGTCCAGCATTTTAAGAACGTTGGACCTTGAAGAGTTAAAACTTTTGACATTTTTCTGGCCAATTTAGTCGGTTTCAATTTCGTTCAAAAAATAAAAGAAAATCATTTTAAAATGTCCATTTTGATGAAATGGCTGTTAGTAATCCTTATATTCACATAAACATGCTTGTACTCCCCATGGTTTTGCCCGTGAGACGCATCAGGTTGCTGATATATATTCACCATGGGCATCCTAGGTAACATTAGCTGATTAAAAAAAAAAAAAAGTAACATTAGCTGAGATATAGTAGACCGTAAGGACGGGGAAGCACAAAATGGGCGAAATGAGAGGAGATGGGAGGAAGGGGGGGGGGGGGGGACATGTGGTGCGCATATAGGCTTGTGGGACATAAGGGTGTCGGTTGTTCGGTCACCCATTGTCTGACACTGCTGGGCCCTGCTGCACTGGATGGCTGGGGGAGTGAGAAAAAAAAATGTGTGCAGCTTAAGGAGGGCGGAGGAAGGCCGCTTAACGAACTGTGACCAAAAGATGAATGGTCAGGATTCATCCAGAGCTTCACCAAGCCACCTTGTGTAGACGACATTTGGCACACACACGTACACAAACAAAACAAAACAAAACAAAAAAAAAAAAAACAAAAAAAAAAACTTCAGAACTTTAAAGTAATCTTTATCTGCTGAAATACAGGGCCGGGGTCCCACTAGCAAAGAGGATCGGATCGAATGCCTGAATCTGGATGTGTTTTATGCAGAGATGCAGAAAAGCAGTTCAATCTCGATTTCCTGGACCTCTCTACAAACACGTCCAGATTCAGGCATTCTGTCCGATCCTCTTTGCGAGTGGGACCACGCCCCAGGATGCTTTGAGAAAGCAACAAGGATTTGCTATAAAATAAAAAGAG